TTCCCGTCCCTGCAATGTGTCGACCATACCCGTCATGTCTGTGCAGGCCAGGTGCTGAGTTCGCCCAGGGTGTCCTTGCTGCCAGACTTAGCGGAGTTCATGGACGTCTTCAGCGAGCAGGAGGCAGACCGGTTGCTGCTGCACCGGCCTTATGACTGCCCCATTGACTTGGTGCCGGACGCGCAGCTCCCTGTGGGTTGCCTGTACTCCATGTCCGAGCCGGAGTTGGCCGCATTGCGGGACTTTCTGGACAAGAACCTCGCCCAGGTTTTTATCCAGCCCTCGTCTTTGCCACTGTCTTCCCTGGTCTTGTTCATCAAGAAGACCGGGGATCTGAGACTCTGTTGTGATTATCGTCGCTTGAATGCGATCATGGTGTGCAACCGTTATCCTCTCCCCCTGATTCCTACATCCCGAGTGCGCGCAACCAAAAGGTGGATGCCCTGTCCAGAAAACCTGAGTACACTTGCACCGCAGACCCGCTTGCACCCTGCACAGTTTTGCCTGTTGAATCCTTCGCTGCAGTTCACGAGCCCGTGGACTTATGGCCTTGGATATGGAACACGCAGCGGTACGAAGAGGGGGTGGAGCAACAGAGGGCAGAGGTAGGGCCGGCCTCCCCGTGGACCTTCAACAATGATCTCTTGAAGTACTGGGACAGGCTTTATGTGCCCGCGATTCTCTCCCAGTGCCATGACAATCCGGCGGCAGAACATTTTGGCCTTTTCAAGACTTTGAACCTGGTCTCCCGTACCTTCTGGTGGCCCTGCTTATGACACGACGTACAGACGTATGTCACCTCTTGTGTACAGTGTCAGCAGGCCAAGTCAGCAATGGGAGCTCCTCCAGGGCTGCTTCAGCCATTGCCGACCCCGGACAGACCCTGGGGAGCCGTGTCCATGGACTTTCTGATGGAATTGCCTCTGTCTTCGGGGTTTACCATGGTCCTCGTGGTGGTGGACATGCTCATGAAGATGGCGCATTTCATTCTGTGTCAGAGATTGCCGACAGCCTGCGCCACCGCCCACATGTTTATCCAGCACATCTTCCGGCTGCACGGCCTACCCGATCGGGTCGTGCCGGACCGTAGAGCACAGTTCACGGCCCAGTTCTGGAAAGGGCTGATGGAGGCTCTGGATGTCCACATTTGTTTGTCCTCGGTGCACCATCCTGAAACCGACGGGGGGATGGAGAAGGTGATCGGGATCTTGGAGCAGTACCTGTGCTGCTTCGTAAATCAGCAGCAGAACAACTGGGTGGACTACCTGGCCGTGGTGGAGTTTGCATTTAACAACTCGCAGCACACCTCCACGCAGACGATGCCCTTCCTGGCTAACGGCGGGTATCACCCTTGCTTCTTTCCTCTTACCCCAGTCAACTCCCCAGTCCCTGCAGTGGTGCTGGAGTTGGCTGTGGGAGATCGCATGTGGCTGTCCACGCTAAGAAGTTGGGCCACCGTTACCTTTGGCTGTTCCCGGTGGAGGCCGTCATCAACCCGGTGGCCTATCGCCTGACCTTGCCACGCTCGATGCGAGTGCACCCAGTGTTCCATTGCTTGCTCCTGGTCCCTGAACGGTCTGCTTGTCCTCTCCGCCCACCTTCTCCGCCCCAGCCATCACGCGTGAGGCAGAGGAGCAGCTTACGCACGAAGTGGCCCGGATCCGGGACTCGAGATGGCTAAAGGGATGATTCCAGTACTTGGTGGACTGGAAGGACGATGGGCTGGACGGGGGACTTGGGCCGATGCGACAGGCATGCACGGCCCCGCTTTGATGCGGGCCTACCATGCACAATGTCCCTCAAGGCTGTACCCTGAGCGTCAGACCCGGGGGAAAGGCCCTGCAGTGAGGGATAGTGTTGTGGCCCAGCAGGATCCGGTTGAGCTGCTGATGGACTCGGATAGCAAGGAACCATATGAGTCTGTCCTGGATGATGTGGAGGACCCTGGGCAGAGTTCAGACTCAGAGCAGGGATCAGAGAGGCTGGTTGACCACCAGGAGGCGCCTGAGGCATGGAGCAGTGGGGAGGATTAAAGGCAGTTTGTCCTGATGCTAGATTGAGAAGGGCTGAGAAACGGAATTAGCAACTCTGTAGGCAGACTCACAGAAGATGATTAAGCACAGGTGGTTTTTGATTGGCCCCTCCCAAGAGAGATTATAGGTGAAGCGTTGGGAGGGGACATTTGCAGGAAACAACCTTCGAATTAGTAGTTAAGAAAATCTATCTGTGTATTCTAGCTGTGTCTGTTCGTTTGGACTATCTGCGTTGTTTCGTTTGAACTATCTGGGTTGCTGCAGAGCTACTCTATTGAAAGTGAGTTGCCTGGGCCCTCAGCCAAAGGATTCGTTATCTCAGTAATTGAACAGTGGCAAACAGCCAAGCCTGTGTTCTGGTTTATTCACAGGCTGGGGGGGGGGGGTGTCAGAACACATACCTATATGCCAAAAGTACACGAAACACTGTTAACCTTCCCACTGAAGTGGTACCTGTTTATCTACTCACATTTGCCTGCTTTCAAACTGCTAGAAGGGCAGGAGCTGTCATTGGCTGTTGCCGGTTTGGACCGGTTTCAGGCAAATCGGTAGTTCTGATCAGTGGCTGGACCCACCTGCCTTCCCTGGCGCTATCCTGTCCTATACAATCACCATGTGTTTGAAGGCGCTCACATTTTTGATTCTGGGTGACCGGTTGTTGCACTCTGTGACACCCACCTCTGTAGCTCACCCTGTCACATGGGGTTTGGCTCCTGAACCCGATCTGTCACTTTCCAGCTGACCACTGAGCATCTTTAACCACTGAGCCACCGTGCCCCTTTGACGTCAAACAATGTGGTTTCTTTTATGTTTGTGTGCTTTAAGACAAGACTGTTAGGTAAATACAAACTGGAGGTGGAATGCAGCTAATTTATATTTGCCATTTTTAAAAAAAGAAAAACATGCAGTTGGAAAATGGCAAACCTGTGTCAAGCTTGGCAGTGTAGTCTGAAGTCACAGGTATGAGACCCCGGGGGGAAAGGGGAGAGGCACGTGCAATTTTTTGGTCACCAGTTGCCTACCTTGGCGCAAACTTTGTTAAAAAGGGGGGGGGAGGGGTTAAAATTCAATAATGGTTTTGTCTTACAGCCTTTTTGGCATTTCAAAATAGCAGAGGTATTTTTTTCTCTCTAGTTTTTGCTTTGTTTGGTTGCGATTTTTATTTTTCTTTGTTTTCCAGCAAGAAAATTCTTTTTTTTTTTTTTGTCAATTGGTTTATTAGAGTCACCAAAGTGGGATGGATCCTGGGTTGTAGTTGGGATGTGTCAAACCTGTATGCTGAGGTGGACTTTAACGCATGTAAAATGTTCAAAGTGCAGAAGAGGAATTTTCCCATAATCTCGATTTGGAACAAACATTTTTCTTTTCATAATTTTGTCTCGTGCTTGGGGGGGAAATGATCCATTTTGGACCAAAAAATCGCACATTGTTCTGTTTAGTTCTGTTTACAGCTTGGAACAAGAAGGCTCTCTTTATTTTTTGTGTACTAAATGTTTTGCGCACAGCAAAAGCTCCTGTACTGGTTGCAGGAGCTTCTGTGTTTGTTCCTCCCAAAAGTTTTATATGTCTGAAACAGAAATCATATGCTCAGGGGGAATCATAGGATAATGGGATTATCCCATCTAAGTAGGACATGGCATAATTGAATACTTCTCTTCATAAACGCTTCCCTCTCACAAAATGGAAGATCTAATAATAGGCTTAACTACACACCTTTCTTTCCTTTTAAAAAAGACTTTGTTAANCTTTTTGACTCGTCCCTCCTCCACCTTCTCTTGTTCATAGAGTATGGACATTTTTAGTACACAGTCATGCCGTTTGGCTTTACCAATGCCCCAGCGTCTTCCAGCATTTTATGAATGATATCTTCCGGAAAAGCTTCTTGGGAAGGTCATTGGCAGCACCTACGCCTGGTCCTGCAATGACTCTGGGAGCATTGTCTGTATGAGAAGCTGGATAAGTGTCAGTTCTGGCAGACTACCATCGAGTTCCGGGGGCACCATATCTCCCCTGAAGGAATTGTGATGGAGCCGGGCAAGGTAGAGTCTTTGCACAGTTGGCAACCTCCTCGGCGAGAGAAGGATGTCCAGCAACTCCTCGGGTTTTCCAACTACTACCGGACCTTCATCCCCAGCTTCGCTTCCCTGACCACGCCGCTCACTCGGCTCCTGCAGAAGAAAGTGCCGTTTTGCTGGGGGCCTACGGAGCAACACACGTTCGAGGCCCTGAAGCACGCCTTCATGAAGGAGCTGATCCTGAAGCACCCTGATCCCTATCGTCCGTTTGTGGTGGAGGCAGACACGTCCGACATCGCAGTGGGCGCGGTGTTACTGCAGGCTTACGCCCCTGGCGGCAATCTTTTCCCTTGCGCTTTCTTCTCATGGAAACTCAATCCTTCCGAGCACAATTACACCATCTGGGAGAAGGAGTTGCTGGCCATTAAGGTGGCATTTGAGGCCTGGAGGCATCACCTGGAGGGGTCCAGGGATCAAGTTGAGGTCCGGAGGGACCATAGGAATCTAGAGTTCCTGAAAACTGTGCGCAAATTGAACCAGCACCAGATCTAGTGGTCCCTGTTCTTTGCCCGGTTCAACTTCCGAGTGACCTACATCCCGAGTGCGTGCGATGAAAGGGCGGATGCCCTGTCCAGGAAACCTGAGTACTCTTGCACCGCAGACCCGCTTCCACCCCGGACAGTTTTGCCCGTCGAATCCTTCGCTGCAGTTCACAAGCCCGTGGACTTACGGCCTCGGATACTGGACGCGCAGTGGTATGATGAGTGGGTGGAGCAACAGAGGGCAGAGGTAGGGCCGGCCTCCCCATGGACCTTCGACGATGACCTCTTGAGGTACCGGGACAGGCTCTATGTGCCCGCAGGGCCCCTCCGGGGACTTATTTTCTCCCAGTGCTATGACAATCCGGCGGCGGGACATTTTGGCCTTTTCAAGACATTGAACCTGGTCTCCCGTACCTTCTGGTGGCCCTGCTTATGACACAATGTACAGATGTACGTCACCTCTTGTGTACAGTATCAGCAGGCCAAGTCAGCGACTGGAGCTCCTCCAGGGCTGCTTCAGCCATTGCCGACCCCGGACAGACCCTGGGGAGCCGTGTCCATGGACTTTCTGATGGAATTGCCTCCGTCTTCGGGGTTTACCACGGTCCTCGTGGTGGTGGACATGCTCACGAAGACGGTGCATTTCATTCAGTGTCGGAGATTGCCAACAGCCCGCGCCACCACCTGCATGTTCATCCAGCACGTCTTCCGGCTGCACGGCCTACCCGATCGGGTTATGTCGGACCATGGGACGTAGTTCATGGCCCAGTTCTGGAAAGGGCTGATGGAGGCTCTGGACGTCCAGATTTGTTTGTCCTCGGCGCACCATCCTGAAACCAATGGGGGGACAGAGAAGGTGATCGGGATCTTGGAGCAGTACCTGCACTGCTTTGTGAATCAGTAGCAGAACAACTGGGAGGACTACCTGGCCATGGAGGAGTTTGCATTTAACAACTTACAGCACACCTCCATGCGGACGATGCCCTTCCTGGCTAATGTTGGGTATCACCCTCACTTCTTTCCTCTTACCCTAGTCGACTCCCCGGTCCCCGCAGTGCAGGACTTCCTCTCGGAGCTCCAGGCGGTCCACCAAGTGGTACGCCGCTATCTGACTCAAGCCAAAGAGGACTACAAGAGGGTGGTGGACAGGTCTCGGCGTGCGGTGCCGGAGGTGGCTGTGGGAGATCGCGTGTGGCTGTCCACGCGACACCTTCCATCCCACCGGCCGGCTAAGAAGTTGGACCACCGTTACCTTGGGTCTTTCCCGGTAGAGGCCGTCATCAACCCAGTGGCCTATCGCCTGACCTTGCCACGCTCAATGAGAGTGCACCCGGTGTTCCATCACTCGCTCCTGGTCCCTGAGTGGTCGGCTTGTCCTCTCCGCCCACCTTCTCCACCCCAGCCATCACCGCATGAGGCAGAAAAGCAGCTTACGCACGAAGTGGCCCGGATCCGGGACTCGAGATGGCTAAAGGGGTGATTCCAGTACTTGGTGGATTGGAAGGATGATGGACTGGATGGGGGGGACTTGGGCCGATGCGACAGACATGCACGCCCCCACTTTGGTGTGGGCCTACCATGCACAATGTCCCTCGAGGCCGCACCTTGAGCGTCAGACCCAGGGGGAGGGCCCTGCGGTGAGGAATAGTGTTGTGGCCCAGCAGGATCTGGTTGAGCTGCTGATGAACTCGGATAGCGAGGAACCATATGAGTCTGCCCTGGATGATGTGTAGGACCCTGGGCAGGAGTCAGAACAGCTTAATATTTAAAATATTAAATATTAAACAAAAAATGTAATACTTTCCAAATTCTTGGTAATAACCAGAATAAGGCCCTACAATGCTGGGAAATTAAATGAGAATTTATTCATAATTTTGTGGATTGCTTCCACAGCTAAAGGTTGAAGAAAGAAAAAACCATTTGT